TTTTATTGTATAAACTCAAAAGTCTCAGTTTGACTTGAGACCCATGTATATTAAAAAGATGAGTCTTTAGTACTCTCTCCTCATGCACATGGGACGTTTTGATAACGCTGGTAACGTTAGCTGTGTAAAGTCACGTTAAAAACATGAGCTTTTTTTTCAGCTTTTTTTAGCGTTTTTGCATTAGCGTTTAGCCGTGATTAGTGGCGTTTTCCCGCTTTTTTCTGCATTCGCGGTTTTTAGAAATTTAGAAACATAAAAAATTTAGGGTGGTAAATTTGGCTATAATAATAAGAATATATATGTGCGATAACAGTAAGTGGTCTTACAGTCCAAAAACGCTGATTTGTGGCATTTTACCGTTTTGCCACGTTTTTCAGCGTTAGAGCTTTTACAGCTAAAAAACTCACTAGTCCTGGGTTTTTTTCCCAGCCAAAAAACGTCCCAGCCAAAAACGTTGATTACAGTCTATGTGTGCATGGACACATAGGATAACATGCTGGGGGGTTTACTGGCTGTAGAAAAAATGTAAAAAGCCAAAAACAGCCGCTGTAAAAACGTCAACTGTGCATGAGGACTTAAAGCTGAATTCCAGGTGTAGCAATTTTTACACAGTTACATTGTTCTAGCTTGGACCAATGTTAGTATGTATGTGCCATACTTGTGAGATCCCCTTGGAAGATGGAAATCACCACTATTACAGCAATCTCCACTAGCTTCTGGCTCCGATGCCAAGTGGGTGGCTTGGCACAGGAGCCATTCAGAGAACATTTTGCATTTTCTCTATGAATGCAAAGTGTTCTCCAATTGGACAGGGCACAGAGGTGGGACAATGACATCATAATCTCCACCTTGTCCAATCAGAGAACACTTTGCATTCCTTAGAAATAAGTGAAGCGTTCTCTGAATGGTGCCTATGCCAAGTGAGCAAATCCTGTGCTTAGTAAGAAGCAGGGCAACCGCTCGGCATGGGACCTGAAAGAGTAGATATCACTGTGATGCCTAATACAGTGATTTCCAGCTTCCATGGGAATCCCACAGCTATGGCACACACATACTTATATTGGTCCATACTGTACCAATGTAACTATGTTAAAATTGCCATACCTAAACTTCAGCTTAATTTTATAGTCTCAACTGGCCAATACTGATTTAAATATAGCAAAAACGGTGAGGCTTTAGCACTAACTTACAGAAATAACTTTCAATATTTTTTATATAATCAGTCTTTAGTAAACTTTGACATACAGTAGTTTAGACAATCATCAAAGGTCATACATTGCATATTTCAAGCATAATGTATAAAAAGTCAGGTGGAACACACAGCTGAATAAATACAGGACAGCATGAACACCTTCAACATTTCAAAAATTCCGGTATGCCCTGCGCCATGGTATCCAGCTTGGTGATAGATAGTAGTAGATGTAGATAGCACAATGTGGACAGCAACTTCAGTACAACTATAAGATAAATGTAAAACTAGAAAAGCTACAATTTCTGGTGAAATTGTGTGAAGTGGTCTTGCCTCCATCAGTAGTCTACAACTGAAGTGGGCGGAGTAACTGGGGAGAGTGGCTTGAGCAGGGGTGGACTGGGGGATCATGGGGCCCCTGTGTCCTTGCCCAAACTCAAAAAAGCCTATGACAAAGGTATCAGGGGCATCTCATGGGGCCCCCTACTGACCCTGGGCCCTCGGGCAGTGCTCGAGTTTCCAAATGGTCAGTCCGCCCCTGGGCTTGAGTAACTGTTGTGTGGTTAGAGTGGCTGGAGTAACTGTGAAAAGGTTGGACTGGGCAGAGTAACTAGTTTTGAACATTCCACCATTCATTCCTATGGGACCAATTTCACCACAAAAACGCTGATATTTGTGAACCATTCGGCGAAACGTTCCACAAAGTAATAGCACACCAATCGGGAACAATCCGCACGTTTCGGTATATTACTGTCTATGTAGTGTAAAAACTGTGGGAGGAGGTAGGGTGGTAAATTTGGCTATAATAATAAGAATATATATGTGAGATAACAGTAAGTGGTCTGCCATGCAAGAACACTTAATAAAACACTTTTAATGTATAAACTGGTTCATGAAAAAAAGGGGCACAAACATAGAAACAGGGGAAAAGAAATGCCATGTGCCTGTACCAAATTAAATGGTCATAGGACCTATTTTGATGAGTGTACAATTGAACAATATGTGTGCTCCATGTCATAATAAACACCTTTTCTGCAGATAAAGATGAAAAGGCTATAGGAGGCCATTACCCCCTCCCTGAACCTAATATTCAATTATCTGTGAGTTCAATAGAGCAGTGGTCTCCAAACTGCGGCCCATGGGCCAGATGTGGCCCTTTGCTTGCTTTTGTCTGGCCCTTGAGGCACTATTCCTTCCACTGACACCAACAAAGCGGCACCATCCCTTCCACTGACACCAATGATGGGGTATACCTCCTCCCACTGACACCATGGATGAGACATAATTTCTCTGACTAAAACCAATGATGGAGTGCTGCTCCTCCTCTTCCTACTGACCTCAAGCGCTATGTATTTTTTAAACCCACTGACCACCAAGCCTAAAGCATTGTAAAGTCCCGGTGATGCTGGGGCATTTTTTCCTTCCACTGGCCACAATCTGGCCACCTAAAGTCTAAAGGATAATAAATCAGCCCTTTGTTTAGGAAGTTTGGAGATCCCTGCACTAGTGTAATACAGTATATACATCTCACCCATACATCCCTAAATTCATCCTGTGTGTTTCTGGCATTGTGAACCCACTGTCCATCTTTGTAATATCCACCTCCTTCCTACAGTCCCTAAAGACTGGTCACTGCTGCTCTCTCAGGGTGCAGGGTGACTGGCAGGGTCATGGATAAGGGGTTACCACCGGTCATCTTGTACCGGACCAGCAGGGGGAATCACGGGGCTCGGGCCAGCAAGGGGCCCAGGCAGCAGGAGGAATCAAATGTGGACAGGGAGGGGGATTTACGTGGCAGGGGAGGAGGGGGGAGCATTACTGGAGCTGATCCTCTGCAGCAGCTGAAAGCTGGCTTCTTCTCCTCTCTCTCCTGACGGATTTCAGCTGCTGCAGAGAGTGACATACAGGGCATGGGTTCCAGTAATTGTACCCCCCCCCCAAGGGCGTATTTACCACAAGGCAAACAAGGCACTCGCCTAGGGCGGCATTTTTTAGGGGGGCAGCACCTCCCCTCAGAAGAAGGGATGAAAGAAGGAACATGCGCACCATGGGAACCAGGTGGGATCCGAGAGAGGCTTCGGGCTGCTTGATGGTGTATGTAGAGCCTGACTCTCATTCCCGGGGATGTCCAGAGTTGTGAATATGAATGTCTGTCATTGGAGGGGGGGGGGGGGTAGTGGAAGGATCTGCTGGGTGGGGGGCAGGGGTGTTGTTGGTCAATGTCAGGCTTTCTCTGCAGGAGGGGGAAGGGGGGGTTGTGTTGGTTGGTGTCTGTGGGGGCAGACGATTTTTGTGTTGCCTAGGGCAGCACAAAGCCTAAATACACCACTGCCCCCCCCCCCCCCCCAACACACACACACACTGCCCTGATCACCCTCCCTGTGCACCATTCGATTCTCCCTGCTCTGTGGGCCCCCGTGTGCCCCTCCTGCAGGGTTTCTGGCTTCCTTTTCTCCCTCCCGCTGGCCACTGCAGGCACACAATGGGTTCCTTCAGAATTGATGTCATATACTTACTAAAACTGGAGCACTCAGAATCCGGTGCAATTGTGTATGGTAGCCAATCAGCTTCTAACTTCAGCTTATTCAATAAAGCTTTCACAATAAAACCTGGAAGCTGATTGGTTTCTATGCAGTGCTGCACCAAATGTTGCACTCTCCAGTTTTAGTAAATCTCCCGCAATGAGTGATTGGTACTGATCCCTCACTGTGTTCATTCAAAACTGATGCATATTTGTGAATGAACAGGAGCCTCTATACAGAAAGCTTTCTGTTCATTCACTATCCAGTGCAGCTAAGGTTTGTTTGGACCCTGTATATTTCACCAAAGCCCCCCCCCCCCCCCCCCCACCCCAACAATATTGTGCAATGATAAATAAAAAAAATCTAAATAATGTAAAACAAAATAATAACACAAAATGTTTAAAGAAAAAAAAAATGAACAGCTCATTCACACAGGTTCTCTGGTCCATACAGTGTGTATGAGCGGTTTGTCTGGCTGGACCTGCTTGTTGCTCTATAAGGACACAACGGTTGTACAAACTCAGCCGCAGGGTCTAATTTTACAGGTGGGCAGGTATGGGTGAGTGGCCTCAAATGCACACTGTCTGTGCTCTGGGCTGTACAAATGCACCCACACACCTGTCAAATTAGGACCTGTGGCTGTGTTTGTCCCCATAGAGTAACATTCTCCAAAACACAGCAAAGCATTCTCATTTGATCATTTTTTGTGGTATGTAAAACTTGTTATATTGGTTTTACAATTCCTGGATCAGATAATATGCGCAAAAAGTGTAACTATTGATAATTGTTGTTTTAGCGCGGTATCCCTTCCTTGAGGAAGAATCTGCACTAAAGTATTCGAAACGCGTTGGGTATAGGCTGAATGCACTTGTAGATCCCTCAAATGAGGTTGCAAGATGAATATCAGCTTCAAGAGATATCGCTCATTTTCCTATGCAATTATTACTAATATTGTCAAGCAAGCATGCTTTCAAGAAATGTTATGTTCCATGGGGGAAATATGTACTGATGTGTTAAATAAAATGTCAAATCTTCTTTTAAAAAATTGATTAATATATTTTAACCACTTGCCGACCGCAGATAGCTGAATGACGGCTACACTGTGGCCGGCCAGTTCTGGGAGGGCGTCATATGACATCCTCCCAGAACGCGCTCTCCTGCTATCCTCCCCTGGCAATCTCCGTAATCGTTGTGTCCCACAGACACAGACACTGCGGTAAAAGGCCAATCACAGCGGCCTTTTAGCACGTGATCAGCCGTGTCCAATGACACACTGATCACAGGGAAATGCAATTGCCGGTTCTTAGCTGCACTTTCCTCTCGCTGTCAAAGCGTGAGGAAAGTACTGGTGAGAACCGGCAGTTGTCAGAGCAGGGATCGGCACCGATCATCAGGGCACTGATGATCAGTGCCCTGATGATTGGTTCCCAGCAGTGCCACCCACCAGCTCTGCCCACCTGTGCCCAGCAGTGCCACCCACCAGTGCTTATCAGTGCCATCCACCAGTGCCACACACCTGTGCTCAGCAGTGCCACACACCTGTGCCAGCAGTGCCATTTATTATTATATTATTATTTTTTATGATTATTTATTAAATTATAATTTATGATTTCGTGTTTCAAGTTTTATCATACCCGGGATGTTTACTAGACTCTTGCTCGGACAGATTTCAGTGAGTTATTTCTAAAAATTACAGGCCTACAATAAAAAAAATACATATTTCCATGCAAAAAAAAATTTACCGCTTTGAGCACAGAAATATGGACATAATCAGACTGCTGGGCACAGGTGCCACACACCTGTGCCCAGAAGTGTCACCCACCTGTGCCCAGCAGTGCTACCCACCTGTGCCCACCAGTGCCACCCACCAGTGCCCAGCAGTGCAGCCCAGCAGTGCAGCCAGTGCCACCAGTCAGTGCCCAGCAATTGTGGCAGTCAGTGCCCAACAGTTGCGCCAGTTAATGCCCAGCAGTGCCGCCAGTCAGTGCCCAGCAGTGACGCCAGTCAGTGCCGCCTATCAGTGCTGACTATCAGTACCCATCATCAGTGCCGCCTATCAGTGCCGCCAATCAGTGCTGCCTATCAGTGCCGCCTATCCATGCCACCTCATTAGTGCTGCCTATCAGAGCCGCCTATCAGTGCCCTTCAGTGCTGCCTATCAGTGCCCATCAGCTGCGGCCTATCATCATCACTGCTGCCTCATCAACGCACATCAGTGAAGGAGAAAAATTACCTGTTTGCAAAATTTTATAATAGAAACAAAGAAACTTTTTTTTTTTTCAAATTTTGGGAAATTGTTTTGTTTATAGCGCAAAAAGTAAAACACCCAGTAACGATTAAATACCACCAAAAGAAAGCTCTATTTATGAGAAAAAAAATTATACAAATTTCATATGGATGCAATCTTTCATGACCGCGCAATTGTCATTCAAAGTGTGACAGCGCTGAAAGCTGAAAATTGGCCTGGGCAGGAAGGGGGTTTAAGTGTCCTGTAGGCAAGTGGTTAAGGTTGCCTTAAAAATCTTACCAAATACAAGATATAAATCTCTCCGTGAGCGTAACGTGGCTTATGCATGTACTTGCAAATGTGTGCAAACAAAACCCTCTGTTTTTTAACTCAAACTGTTAGACAGGACCAAATTGGTTGTTTTGCAGACTGGTTGGTAAGTGTTGCTGGGAAATCCTTTGTTTGCAATGTGCATTGCCCTTCCATGTGCACCTTACTGCTATGGCTGGTTATAGGTTGGGACGGATTACATTTTTTGTGTATTTATCTTTTAGACTTAGCAGGAATTGTATAAGTTATTTTATGTTTGTGTCTGGTAATAACGACTTCACTGTATTTTTAGCAAAAATATCTCTTTGATACAGGTGAGGAGGGGATCTGTCAGGCCCGGTGGTTTCAAACAGCAGCCCTGGTGACTGGTCTTGTCGCCGCCCCCTCCTGTAGTTTTCTTCAGGCATCTGTTAGTAGGTGGAGCCTACTGAGCTCCTCTTACATCTTTGGTTTCTGCACATACCATGTGCCGCATAGTGATGATGTCGCTGCTACTGTTCAGGTGATATCTGGGTATACAAAGCCATTTGGTTCACACAAAGTGGATTTATATCCTTTGTGGCGATTAAGTAATGCATTTAACCATTTAAGCTTCGGAAGGTTTTTAGTCCCTATATGACCAGGCCATTTTTTGCTATTCAACACTGCACTACTTTAACCTCCCTGACGGTATTCCCAAGTGTAGCTCGGGGTAAAGTTTCAGCACCACAAGCGGTAACCCCGAGCTACACTCGGGAATACCTTGCAGCACTGCTCCACGATCCCTCGATCTCTTACCTTGTCCTGCGCTCCTGCGATGTCCCTCCTGCAGCGTCCCCGGCAATGTAATCCAGCCGATGCCAGCATCTGTCTTCTGGGTTCCGTTCCCTGCGACGTCGGGACGTACGGGGGACGGAACGGCGGGAAATTTGAAAATGACAAAAAGTGACATTCACTAAAATCACATAGTATAACATTACTGTATCAAACCATTTCACAAACATTTTGTCCCGAGTGCTTTGTCCTGTGCCCTGCCTGCATTTTTACTGTTCTTTCTGCCTAGAAATTGAGAAACGTCCATGGAGTCCAAAAAGCGTCCCTTTAGGTCAAAAGCGGGTTTAGATCAGCTAGAGAACAGCGATAGTAAATCAGAGCGACTTGCAGAATTGAGTGATAATGATTTGTGGGGAAATTCGTCATCAGACACTGAAAATGATTTTGTGACTTTGCTCAGTGATGTGCAAACTTGGCGCTATATTTCAAATTTCAGTGTTTTTTTGGTTTGATTATATTATTGAATTAAATTATTATATTATTATTTTTTATGATTATTATTAAATTATAATTTATGATTTTGTGTTTTTATCATTTATGATTTCAAGTTTTATCATACCCGGGATGTATACTAGACTCTTGTTCGGACAGATTTCAGTGAGTTATTTCTAAAAATTAAAGGCCTACAATAAAAAAAATACATATTTCCATGCAAAAAAAATGTACCGCTTTGAGCACAGAAATATGGACATAATCAGACCGCTAGGAGGGTTAACTGCCAATAGAGCAGTCATGCAACACTGTACTAAAGTGAAGCTTCTTTCTTTTCTCTTTTTTTTTTTACATAAATAGAGCTTTCTTTTGGTGATATGTGATCACCACTGGGTTTTTTACTTTTTATTATATAAATGGAAAAAGACCCACAATTTTGAAAACAAACAATATTTTTTACTTTTACTATAAAACATCCAATAAAACATTTTTTAAAAATCAAATATCTTCATAAAATTTAAGCCAAATGTATTCTGCTACATGTCTTTGGTAGAAAAAAATCCCAATACGTGTATATTTACTGGTTCGTATGAAAGTTATAGCATCTACAAACTATGGTATATATACACTGGAATTTCTTACTTTTTTTTATTCTAGTAACGGCGGTGATCATCGATTTATAGTGGGAATGTGATAGTGCAGTGGGCAATCTCACACTAACTGACACTGAAACTACATGATCAGTGATAATACTATACACTGTAAGTCACTGTATTAATGATATGGTCTGGGAAGGGGTTAAACATCTAGAGCAAAGGGTAAACGTAGTGCCTAACGTATGTGTAATGGGTATAATGTGTGCTGCTTTTACTAAGCAATGTGGTTAAATTTTTTCTCCCTTGACGCTGTTGCAGGGAAAAAAAACAGCCACATCTCTGCTCGCATGTACAGAACCCTGTGTTGGTAATGAACACAGGGCTCTGTACTGGTCATTTCACTAAGCCGATCAGCAGGTCCCCCCGGCCATAAATCAGTGATTGAGACCTTCCACAAAAAAAAACCCACCCCCCCCCCCCCCCCCCCCCAACTACCCCCCCACAACCCCCCA